TGATGATAGCAGCGTTGTCGGTAGGGAAGTATATCCGCGGATATTTCGGTTACCGTGGGTAACCTTTCTCCAGTTTTTTTATTGTAAAACCTGCCTAGAGAGAGGTTAATCACGGTGACCGAAACGTCGGCGAATATACTTCTCTACCGAGATCGCTGTGTTATAAACATTATAACATTCACGTTATGCAGTTCAATTTGTTTTTCCTGCTTATTGTTGTTGGTATAAATTCTTACGGACTGCGATATTAGTTTCCCTTTGATCTGTTCTGAAAAATGGCATATAGAAACGTTAAAAGCCCAATGCGAAGGAATCACCTTCACTACCACTTTTTGGAATGAAAGGCAATTGGGACTCCTCCCTCCATCCCTCTGTGTTATGGGAAAAGCCGCCGCTCCCTCGTACTCCAAAGGAGGACGGACCGCCATGGCATACAGAAGTTTGAATGCCTGTTTCGACAGCAACCCAAACGATCAGCGAATTGCTCCAAGGATACCCCAGGCAGACAAACATACTTTATCCGTTTGGCCTCTGGTCCTGAGCGACGATGCGATGATCACCTCTAAGTCCCTCTCGTGGTCACTGCTCCTAAGGAGAACATCTCATCTACCACTTATGTAACTGGACGCGTCATTGTCAAGAGGCACAGATATTTCTGTCATAACTGAGCTTAGCTTAGAAACTGAACTTAGCTAATGTAAATCCAGAAGTTTCTAGTCGTACTCACAAGGGTTTAGGTGTATATATGCACGCTCATGATTTTCACCATCGTCATCATCATTGTACAGTGTAATACAGTAAAGCGAACTTCACTGATCGCTGCCAAACTCATAATGCATACAAGATGAGTGAGAATATGTAAGGTGGACATGGATTGGACCTATTTTCAGGGACGGGAAAAGAAAGCGAACCTCTATGGTCAACACAGAGTACACAGCCCAACGGTGCATACATACAATCTCAAGCATCCTGGTCTGATAAGAAGTGATAGCATGATCGCCATTGCTGTCGGTTCGCAGCCATGACCATGTCTCCAACCATGCGGTTTCGAAGTCTTTTGGACCCCAACCCGGAAGACGAGGGACATCTACTCTACCTAATCGCTCTGTGAATTTCTTTATGCCTCGTCTCCAAGTCATCTTCTAGCCTCCACGTGTCTGTAACAGCCACTGTAAACAAGGCGCGCGGTATTAGACGACCGTCGAACATACGTAAAACGTCCTAACCAACGGAGCCTACTGAGCGGGATTCGATGGGATAGCGAGTTCTTGTTTGATGTATTCCCAAACTCCCGACGGCTTACTTCTTAGTTACTAACCCGCTCACTCCATCCCATTTGGGCCAGACTACATAAGCATCAATTGTCGAACACTGCTAAACGACGGGTGTCTTATACCCGCAAATTCAAGGTCTCACAACCATGAAGTAGAACTGATCGTACAGTGGCGCAGTATACGTGACTTTTCAACTTTAGTGACACGTCACGTCGCCGCAACAGGTGTTCTAGTCCTGCGTACGCTGCTCGAGCCTTGGAAATGCGGGTGGTTATTTCCTTCTATGCGCTACCGTCGTTGATCACGCGACTGCCTAAGTACGAGAAGCAGTCAACCTCAGCTAATTCCTGACCGTCTAGTTTCAGAACAGAACTCGGTGACACCCAGTCTTGTAGTATCACTTTGCACTTTGAAGGTGCAAAGCACATGCCGAACGGAGCGACAGAACTTATTAATCTGTCAAGAGCTCTTTGTGCATCCTCCATACATTCGAACAAGCGAACGATGTCGTCAGCGTACTCCAAATCGCACAGCTTTTCTCCAGCTGCTCATTCAATACCTATATTTTACAGACCACCTAATATGTTCTCCAGTATTTCGTCTATGACGAAATTGAACAGAAATGGTGAGAAAGCACCCTTGACGAACAATTTCAAGGTCATCGCCTCCCATCTTGAAAAGAATGAGAGGAAGCCCGTTCGGCCCTGCTAATTTTCCTTTCTTCAGGGCTTGGATGCAAAAACGAACTTCTCCTGCAATAGGAGGTTTAGATGACACTGCCCACGGAGCCTCAGCTAAATGGGAGGAGATAGCCTGGTTAGCGCCTGACCAGCTGGACTGCTCGTTGAAGTACTCCGACCCCCCCGGTCAAGCCGTTGTTCCCCATTGTGAATAGCTCGTCCACTTTTGTCGCAGATGGTTTCACTAACTGTGGTTCGCCGACCTCCCGTATTGTGTATCAGTTGGAACAGTTTGACTATTCCCTGATGCAGCTGCTACTTTCATTTCACTAACTATCGTTGCCCACCAGTTCTCACGGTTTTTCTTGAAGCTCCTCGTGAGATGACGTTGTAGACGCCACCTAACCCTGCCTTGGTCCGGGGTGGTTAGCATTTGCCGCTTTTTCTCCATCAGTGCTACTGACTCATCAGATATCCAATGCCTCGGTCGAGCTACAGCTCCAGATCCACAAGCAATGTTCGCAGCGGAGTGCATTTCCCGATGAATCTGATCCCATTGTGCATTCACACTACCACCCCGCAGTGCGTTTGGCTCTTGCCCTAGTTCTGATTCAAAACGGGCACGAACGGCTGGGTCCGGTCTGCCAATTGAGTTTGGTGGGCTTTTCTGCTACCAGTGAGTTTGAGAGTGAACTGCATCAAAACTAACGCATGATCAGACTCAACGCAGGTGGTCCAATAGGACCTGCAGTTTTTGTACTGAGCGACGCCAGCGGTCGCTTACTGCTGTGTGGTCGATTTGAGTTAGCGTGCCAGTTGAATTTGAGCGCCACGTTACTGTCCGTTGAGAGCTGTGTTGGAAGTTGGTGCTGGATAGAAATAGATAATGATCTGCGCAGAACTGAAGAAGTCGATCGCCATTATCTGAACTTAAGTGGCATATAGTACTAGGATTCCGGATTCGAGTCTCCGACACGCAGCAGACATCAATCCCCAAAGAGTCCATTGTGCGCACCAGACACGCTTGTTGACCTACCTGCACCAGAGTCCTCACGTTGAAGGCCCCCGGATTCAGTAGCTGACGAGGCTTCAGAAACTGCAATCTATTTTGTGGTAAACTGCTTACCGAGAGACTTGGCAACGGACTTTGATGAGTGACGAACAAGTTGTCTGAGGGAATGTTACGGTTGGAAGATGGGGTAAAGGAAAAGGGGTGGTTACGGAAGACAGAGTTAAACAAAGGTTGGGATATCTAAGCAGTAACCCACTTATCACTACCCACCCCTCTCGATGCAATGGGCAGTGCGGTCCTGATTATCCTGCGCGACGACCAATGCAGTATGGGGTTATTTTTTGGTTATATACAGAATGAAACTATGAAAAAAACGAACAGAAATGGCTACGGAGGAATTAGTTTAAGCAACATTGTCGCGAAATTTCTCGTTGGCATAATACTCCGTCGATTGTGCACCACACGAAAAGCGCGCACGCATGAGAACTGGCCAGGATTTTGACGCGATCTATGTTTCCTCCTTATGATAAACTGTCTGATCTGGAGTATGCAGACGACATTGTGCCGCTAAGTGAAGATCCAGAAAAGCTGCAAATTTTTGAGGATAATTTGAGTGACATTGTAGCCGATTTCGGTACGTGTCCTGAACCTTCTAAGTGTAAAATTTTGAAACAGAACTGAGTTGATCCAACCGGGGTTGCATTCACTTTCCCTGTCTGTCTTACATTATATATATATATATATATATATTCTGATCAGTCGCTCCAGGCCCTTACACAACACTGACGTTAGGCTAACGGGTCTATAGTTTTCTGCTTTAAATTCTGGAGATGCAACAAGGGCAACGGTGGTTAAATACACTTAATCTCCTTACGTCTTTTGCGTGAGAACAAGTATGGCGCCAACATAAAAGTAATGATAATAATGTTAGGATGGGGTACAGAAATATGAAATGAGAGTGAGGAACAAAGAACGGGGGAATGAACGAATGGTCAAATACAGTGCATATTGTGATATTGTAAATGTGGNTTCAAGGAGAGACGCATCTAGTGGGCGCTACAAGTGACCTAGGTTAGTGAAAGCCACGCGGGCCTTGAGGATGCGCGCTGATATTCCTTCTGTCAGTCTTCTTGAGCTGAAACAGCTCCTGGGACAAGAAATGTAATCGGCGATTTCCAACTGGTCGCGCATGAGCGTGAGGATAGGTGTAACTTGTTGCCAGTCTTGTAGGAGGATCTTAAATTTCAATAGAGAAAAGGTCATGCTAAACTGCGTGACATAACGCTAATTTCCAGGACGCTTTGAGCATCGTTGGTGGAATCATGGAGTATAACGAAGGATGTAGCTCCCCCAAGGCCGAAAATCGTTCGGGATCTAGCCTGATTAGGCCTTTGGATACCCGAGAAGAAAGGTTTTGCTAGCTCCGATTGTACTTCTGGGTTCACTGAACGTGATGCCATGTTTTCTTTTAGCGTCATCCGTGAATTTTCGGGAATTTCCGTCATGTTCTCCTGAGACGCGACCAAACGCTGTGAAGTTGTCCACATAGGCGAATGTATCTTGTAGATATTTTTATGAATGTTTTTATCTATCGTCCAAAGTCCAAAGTAGACAACTCCGTCCGTAACTCCGAACAGAATGCGACAGTACTGATAGAAGTTGCCATAAGTCTCAAATACCGAATATGTTTCTTGCTCTTCTCGAATGATAATTTGGGGATAGGTGCCTTGCAGATCAAGTTTACTGAACACAGAATATTGGGTCACTCATTCTAGTAGCTCATCCATTCGTAGCATAGGGTCAGCGTCACGGTCTATAGTTTGCCCACAGTCAATTATCATTCGGGAAACTGAAAATACTGTTTTCCCGTCACAAATTTGAACAGAGAAGTCAGAAACATGGGTTTGAACAATGTATCCATGATAATTTCACTGCACCTGTACACGTGCATACTACAGCCAAGTGATTTTTTTTTATAGTCAGTGAAATAATAGATGTGAGACGAAGACAAGATCGCTGATCACAACGGACAACACAAAAAAGGGGATGAGAGAGTGTAGGGAGTTAATCACCAGGGCAAAGCAACTGTGACTAACCATTCATAGATCGTACTTAAGAGTATAAATGGCTAGGTCCTCGGCAAGTTCCAGTAACTGTGTGTTCGCTGTGTTGTAAATGATGATGTCGTCTGCAAGCTTCATTACCCATGCTACGGCGTCCCCGGTAAGCGATGCGCCCCGCGCTCCTCTAGTGGTCGGGATTTCAAGAACGCGAACTGGACCTCCTCAACCTCCCCAACTTAGAAAGCACATCTACGTGGGATGCTGGAACGTCAGGACCCTCCTAGACATTGGGAGTCAGGTAATGACTATGCGCACTTTACACGACTACCGCGTAGATGTTGCATGCTTATCCCAGGTGCGACTAGCTGGCTCCGGCTCACGCAGCATCAAGGTTCCCGGTTCTGATAGCCATAGTGGCTCAGAAATCTCAGGTCAACAGGGAGTGGCGTTAGCGCTGAACCAGCCCGCCAACACTGCCTTACTCTCTTGGGAACCAGTATCGTCAAGGATCTCTGTGGCTGGTTTCAGAGGTA